AACCATAGATATGTATAGATGCCCCATTCGACGGCTCCAGGCACGTAGATGCGGCCGCCATCTTGGAACGGTCAACTTGACGTCATTCATCATACTGTAGGTTCTCACAGAGCTGTTGAGCCGTTCTGTGCAGGATTGTGGCATCTTTCGAATATTCAGTGAATAATATGGTGAATGACGTCAAGTTGACCGTTACAATATGGCGGACGGCTTACGTATAGCGGCCCATAGAAACAGTCGCTAATGAGGCATCTACATATATACATCTATGCTTGGCACCGTCGAATGGGGAATCTACCTATACATATCTATGGTAACAAACCCAGGACCCTACTGTTGCTATAGTAACAAACACAACTTCTGACAAACACACACATCTGATTGACAGCTAAACTGCACTCTGATTTCAGTGTTGTTTTTTTCATTTATGGATATTTCAGCTAACAGTTTGCTTTGTACTTTCGGTTTAACAGCATAAAGCTAAAGAGGGTAAACTCTATCATTCTACTGAACTGTGCACGTATGTTTTAAACACTTAGGCTACCTTATGTTCTTACTCCGCCCATGTATTAAATGTACGTTCTTGAAAGTGCAGTTTTCTAGTGTATTTACTTTAACTTCTCAGGCAATATCAATGGTATGACCCATTTCAGATGCGGCCGAAATTACAACAGTGATTATACATACATTTAATTATTTGATCAAAATTATTGCAAGGGACAATTTAGTAGTCGCTGGATATTGTCCCTAGTGTCTCTACTAAATTCTACGCCCTTGCATAAGGCACACGAAATGAAAAACACTTTGTGAGTTTCAAAGTCGTAATCTGCCAAACCCCCTCTTGGAAAAAGAAAGCTGAACTGAACTATTTCTTTAGCACCAGGTTGCCTGTCTGTGAATAAACAACAACATCTCACCTGCTCTTGGATTTTGATCTCCTGGTAGTCCTTGCAGGCGCCCGGAGGGGCGTCACTTCCTGACAGGCAGGTGAATTTGAAAGAATTACATCCATCCTCATTGGGGCAGCTGGTGGGTGGAGTGAAGGTGTAAAACTGCTCAAAAGAAGCCTGCACGGAGAACACGTGCCTGCATTTATTGCACATGTAGTCTCTCTCATACTCCAGCACTTTGGTCACACTGGTGCGGATGACCGTGCCCGTGACGGACAGGAAGTGGCCAACATCTCTAGCTTTAGGAATGTGATCTCTGGTCAGCTCGGGACACATAGGTAAACCTGCAAATGTGTAGTAAGGGGAAAAAGCCATATACTGGATTGGAACAACATGAGGGAAAGCAAACGTCGACAATTTTTGGGTGAACTACTCCTCTTGAAGGAATAAGCATGTATTATATTAAGCACTAGGTGTCAGTGTTATTCCACCAGACTTCTTGGACACTGTTTTGGGAAGTTATGGTCTCCTACTGCTAGATGGCGCTGCATTTTCATTCATGAAAAGTTCAAAAGCAGAGTTACAGTCTCTTGCACTTTCTTACATAATAATTTAAATCGGAGGCACATTCAATATTTGAATATGACCTGCCCTGTCATGGTTGCATCATAGAAAAACATAAAAGAAAGAAGAACCAAAAATGTCAAAGCTACTTAGGCAATAAAACTGCCCTCAGTTTTTCTTTCCCCTCTAACCATAGACACAGACTGCAGTGGCTGTGGAGAAAATAGGTTTCAGTAAAGTGTGTTTATTTGAATGAGTCAAATCTGCATGGCTACAGATGAAGAGCGTGTAATTACAGGAGACGGCAATCATCTCCTGCAGAACATGAGAGAAAAGCATTTGGCTTCACCACATTGCAATACGATCCATCCCACATACCTCAGGGATCAAACACAAGCCTCCCCTCTCAGCCTACACGTCATCGAAAACAATCTTCATACTCTTCCTCTCTACGTCAGTCTGCTGTTTTTAGATAAGCAGATAGCGATGGACGAAACACTGTATATTCATGATCATGATTTTGATTAAAAGCACCTTTGTGAAAACTGCACTTTAAAACTGATTTTAAGGATGTTGACCACTGTGTTTCCCAAACAGATTGTGTCATTAGACAAGAACACAATGTTTTTTTTAAAAGCACAAAACAAAATCTCTTAAAAAACCTTTACAAAATTCCTGAGAACTATTTCCATAGTTAGAAACAGGTATTTTTAAATGGAACAGTCTCTCTGATTTAAACATCTGCAGCACAAACAGTATTCGAGTTTGTAGTACTCGTATAATCACTGAAAAATGTACACAAAATGTTTCCACTTTTCATGCATTACAATTTTTCTTTATATGCGAGTAAAATAATGCTGGTAACACTTTACAATAAGGTTCAATTTTTTAACATTAGTTAATTATATTAGTAAACGTGAACTAGCAATGAAAAAAACTTCTAATACATTTAGTATTCTTAGTTAATGTTAATTCCAAAATTTACTAACGCATTATTAAAATTAAAAGTTGTGTCTGTTAATATTATTTAATGGGCCTGAGCTGGCATGAACTAACAGTGATCATTTGTATTTTTATTAACTAACGTTAACAAAGATTAAAAAATACTGTAACAAATGTACTGCTCATTGTTAAGTAATATTAGTTAATACATGAACTAACATTAACTAATGGGACATTATTGTAAAGTGTTACCATAATATTTTACCTACATGTAAAAAATAGAAATAACAAATAAATAATGTTTAAAATTTTTGGTTCAGATTTATTTATTTTTTTTGGAAAGAACTTCTTTTATTAAGCAGGGATGCGTTAAATTGATCAACAATGACAGTAAAGACTCTTACATTTTTACAAAAAATAAATTAATGTATTAAATTAAATAAATGGTGTTATTTTGAACTTTCATCTAAAAATCCAGAAAAAAATGTATCATGGTTTTAACAAAAATATTAAGCAGCAAAATTGTTTTCAACATTGCCATCACAGGAATAAATTACATTTTAATATTAAAATTAAATGTATAATATTAAAATGATAACATTATTAATATTTTAATAATATTTCTCAATGTTACCATTTTTACTGAATTTTTGACCGTAAGAAACTACTTTGAAAAGCATTTTTAAAAAATTTGACTCCAAACCTTTTAACAGTAGTGTATGTGGGTAAATATTGCTGTTCCCTTTCAGTCGGTCACTACGAGTCACGTCGTGACCGACGAATTGGGATATCGCTTCGATAGACCAATCTACTTCGAGTGTAAACTAAACGAGCCAATGCACATTGGCATGCAATTATTCCCGTCGCCACGGTTGCTGTACCACCGCTGAGCGGCCGGGTCGCCGGCTCGGCTCCTCAGCGAAAACCTGGTATGCATTGCACCTGCTGCCTTATTATACTCACGCTGTGATCAGCGGCAGCTGGATGCAATAATTGCATGCCAATGTGCATTGGCTCGTTTAGTTTACACTCGAAGTAGATTGGTCTATCGAAGCGATATCCCAATTCGTCGGTCACGACGTGACGTTTCCGTTCCCTCCTTCAGGGAACGAGGGTTACCATACGTAACCGAGACGTTTTCTATGCACCTATTTTAGTGGATATAAATGAAAATTCTATATTTTGGGTTTATTTAAAAACAGAGAGGAAAACATGCCTCAATGATTTTTAACTAGATTTTTGTAGTATTAAACATCTATATTTTGAATCAATTCAACAATTATTCAGTTGAAATGTTCCTTTGATTGAAAAAAAAAAACAGCAAATACATAAATACTGACATATAGAATATAAAAAGGCTGAAAGATAGCAATATATTAGCTATATCACCCAGCCTGACCTTTACTGAGTGTCTTTCTTTATAATACAGGCACGTCACACCTCTTCAGGAAGACAACAGATGATTTTACCCACCAGGTTTGCTGAGAGACACCACCTGGATACACAATATTACTCACTAATGACCTTCACCAAAGCATGAAAGCATCCAGACACATGACGTGCTTGTTCATCGTGATATGGCCAACGGTCTGTGAGCTTTTTATGGCTGTGTGTCCTATTTTCAGACCCCTTTCATATTCACAGCACGCTGGATCTATGAGTGGAGTCTGCACTCAGGCTATTTATATCTCTCCTTTGTCCACAAATGGGATAAAACATCCAGGGAACAGGAAAGGTCAGTCAGCAGATTATTGCTGACACACTCCCTACAGCAGTCGGAGTCTTGGCTACATCCATCTAGAGATGGATAACATTTACATGGGTTCATTTACATGAGTGGTGCTCCTCGGCAAGACAAAAGTCAACACCACAATGCCAGGATACTGCAATGTGATTGCTAAGGTTTTAGTGCGAACAGTTTTTAGTGCATTGCTATGTAGTTGCTTACTAGCTCAAGTCAAAGGGAGCCCCCGTAAGGTCTCCGTATATAACCTGAATGCTTATTTTAGTATTATTTACATATGTATGTATGTATATATATACACATACACACACACACACACACACACACACACACACACACAAAAACCAAAATTATGACAATAAATGCCATTTTAAAATATTATTATTTATAGTTTTTACTAATATTTTAAAATAGCATTTATTGTCATATTTTTGGTTTTTGTTTTATTTTTGTTTAATTTTTAGTAATTTTATGTGCTGTTGTCATTTTTATTATTGCGGTCATTTTTTATATATTAGCATTTAGTTTTAATTAATTTTATTTCAGTTGTACTTATATTTCTGTCCATTTTAGCAATTTTAGGGTTTAGTAATGTTAGTTATAACATTGCTAATTAATTGGTAAAATATTAGTTTTTACTAATATTTTATATTTAGGCTACTAATAGTTTTTACTAATAGTTATAATTGCCACTCACTAATATTTTTTTCTAGTCGTTATAATTACTACTAATAATAGTAGGATTACTAATAATACTAATAATATTTTAAAACGGCATTTATTTTCAGTTTTCATTTTTGTTTAATTTTTAGTAATTTTGTTATGTGCTGTTGTCATTTTTATTATTGCTGTCCTTTTTAGATTTATATATTTTAATATTTCGTTTTAATAAATTTTTTTGTTCCGTTTTAGTTCATTTTAAGGCTTTATTTATTTGCATTTAGTAATTTCCATGTTTCATTTCAGTTAGTTGCCTAGGCCACATTGCTAACATTGCATTTATTTTATTTTCATCTTTATATTTGATTTTTACTTTATTACAACATGCAAAAACATTTTATTTTTAGTTAATTAATGATAATAACCCTGCCACCCAGCACCAGTCTGGTTGTAAATTATTAGTCTGATGATCAGTAAATACTGACAGAATTATTTCATGAAATATTCCTTTAAAGCCTCATTCAGCAGTTCTTTCCTCTGACAGCCCATGTGTCTATCTGACCTCTCACATGAGACGTCCTCTCTCTCTCTCTCTCTCTCTCCTCAGATCCGGATCAATACCCTTCCTGCAGAGCCATTGCTCATCTTGTTGTTACATCATGCAGTGTTTGCACTCAGACCTGACCAGCTACTCAAAGCTTCATCTGATCTCTCTCCAGCTCCCTCTCACAGCGAGCCAACATCCCGATGCGTAACGAGACTGTTGTTACAGAGAAAAACACATCAGCATATCCTGCAGGTTATATGACACTAGATCAGAGGAAGCGACCATGATAACAGATAAACGGTTCGCGGCAGGACAAACGAGCTGTCTGCCACGGTGTGCTGGGGTCTAATTGCCTGTAGAGAGAAACAGCCTCTACGTTGCATTGACAAACTAATAGGCTGCAAGCCTTCAAGAGCAAATGAAACAAGCAGTCAGAGGCACTCTGTGGCTTTATGGCAGCACACATCTACCAGTTACACCAAGAGAACAGTCAGCCATATACAAGCCACTTCTGATCACTGGGAGGTACATGTCATATTGGCAATAGAAGAACTGTTTACTGTTTGCATAAACAGGCCTAATAGTTTCATTTGCTACAGCTGTAATATTTATAGCATATACTCTAGTCTAGATACCCTGGAGTATACATACAGTATTATTGTGAGGCCAAAAACACTTAAGTACCTCGACAGATAAGTTGGTAACACTTTAAAATTATTTTCACTAATAAGGTAATGTCATTATATGTGACCCTGGACCACAATTTTTCAAAATTGAGATTTATACATCATATGAAAGCTGAATAAATAAGCTTTCAATGCTTAATTTATCTGAATATATACAATAGATGAAATATAATATATATACACACACACATATATACTGTATATATATATATATATATATATATTTTAATTTAACATTTGAAAATGATAAATATGTATATACTTGAATATCCTCTATAATAATATTTAAGTAAACAATCATGTAATCATGCTTTGAAAATTACTTAATGAGATTAATTGAGATCATACAGAGAGAAAAAAAAGATGTGATTAGTTGAGATTAGAAATTACTATATTTACAATTACAACAATTATAATACATTTACAAAATTGAACAATAAAATTATTATTATAGTCATTGTAAAGTGTTACTGATTATTCTTTCCTATTATTATCATTATTATATTCTATTTTTCTTCTTTAATAATTGATTTGGAATATGTTGTACACAATATTTTGTTCTTATATTTTCTCCAAATGATTTGAAGATGGTGTAATTTCTGCACCACTAGTTAATAGAAAAAATAATTTCCCAACAAGTTTTTTTTTTCTTTCAAAAACTCACCAAACTTATGTTATTGGCTGTTGTGTCAGGTTGTTCAGAAAGTTGCACAAACATACATAAAAACTGTATAAAATCCTGATTGTTGAGTATTGATACAGGTGTCATTGTAAAAGAGTGGATGTTCTTATACTTGCTTACCTGATATACGAACATGCAGATTGTGTTTGAGTTTGAAACTCTCCTGCGGTGAGGAAGACGACTGAGATATGGTCTGGGCCACTCTGTGCAGGGCATTGTCAAATATAAGCAGCACCTGGTTGGGGAATGCATTGAAACACTCTCCAACCTCCATATTATCCTCAAATAAGGTCATGGCATTCACTACAACAGGATAGTGAGCATCTTCACTGGCCTCCTGGAAGATCTGTAGGATGTCATTCTTGTGGTGCTCCATCACATAAGTCTGAAACGCCAGTCCTATGAAGGACACCTGATCCGGACTGAGCATCATGTTCATCTGAAGACGGAACCGGATCACTCAGACATGAAGAATTCTGCAAGAGAGCAGCGGACGATGGTCTGTACATAAATTACAGTTCATCTTTTTAAACCCTTACATACTCATACACCTGTATCATAGCAGCTGGAGAGTCTTAACATTGTTATTTTTTTCTGTATGTAAAATGAACTTATAAAGGAATATGTACATTTTTAAAATTATTTTAACTATTTGATTCAGGGGTCCCACACCTTTTGAAAAATGTATGACCTTTCAAGTTATTTGTGATTATTAGACAAGGATTTGTAAAAGTAATTGAATGAATCTAACAGATATTCACCAAGACCAATCTGTGACCAAAACAAAAAAAGAAAGAAAGAAAGAAAGAAAACTACATTCATGAAGTACACTTTTTATCTAAATATTTTTTTTTTTCAGGGGAAAAAGTAAAAAAGAAAAATGTATTGACTAAAAACTTCCTGACACAATTTATCCTCAATATTTCCAGGTTTTTCATAATGATGGAAACATTGTGAATAATTATATGCTTAACTGATCTGTAGTTCATGTTCATTAAAAAGTATGAATTAAATGTGAAGTCACATGATGTTTTCTGATATTACATTTACTCTTTATTTATCTATTTTTAGATAATATGTTTATTTTTTACGTTTCAAAAATAACACATAAATACATAAAATTAAGTAAAAAATCATCATAGCGATAATAACCCTTACACTTTTTATCACCTTTTTAAAACCCATTTAATGTCTTTTTGCACTTCCAACAGTCCTACAGTGGCAAATAATTTTATGAAACCACAATGCAGTTTTAATGCAGTCCCTTGATTAATTTAAGTTCATAAAACTGCATGAATAATAATTATACAATATTACATTTACTCTTTATTTATCTATTTTTAGATAATCTGTTTATTTTTTACGTTTCAAAAATAACACATACATACATAAAATTAAGTAAAAAATCATCATAGCGATAATAACCCTTACACTTTTTATCACCTTTTAAAAACCCATTTAATGTCTTTTTGCACTTCCAACAGTCCTACAGTGGCAAATAATTTTATGAAACCACAATGCAGTTTTAATGCAGTCCCTTGATTAATTTACTCTCATCTCCAATTATCAATTTGTCATTGTGGAGGTTATTGTAAAGAAAAAAGTCAAATGACAATAAAAGTGTTTATTTTTCCTTGTTTCAGAGCAATATGTGTTGATGTTTATGAAAATACAGGCAATTTAAATCATATGTTCTTTGCTTTTGGTTCCTTGAATGGTAAAAGTTCACTCACATAACAGACACACTTCATTAAATGTCACAATAATTATTTATTCTTACGCATACACCAGTAATATAAATATAAAATATGCATGCAAATAATTTTATGAAACCACAATGCAGTTTTAATGCAGTCCCTTGATTAATTTAAGTTCATAAAACTGCATGAATAATAATTATACAAGAACTACACAAAAGTTATTTAAGGACACGCTGTTTGACAGCTCATGACTCATAATAACATGCATTCAACAGGCGTTCAAACCATTTCTGTTGTTTGTATTTCTCTCTTGAGCAAAATTTTACAAACAATAGAAACCTAAAAGGATAATAAAATGCCCTATTAATATTTCCTTCCCAACAGTTCTGTATTTGACATACCTGGACGGAAGAGCAGTTGTTACACAGCCTGTATGAACAACATTCACGAATGGGGGTTTCTTCCCGTCCGTGTTTTCAGATTTGGCGCTTTATTCCTAATCTCCCTGCATTGTAGGGGAGCACGTGTAGACAAATGATGAATTCTATCACAAGATAACTCATTCTAAAGACTGCATAATACTACAAAAGTAGTTTCACTACCATATAATCTGTTTGATTTGTCACTTTTATGTCTACATTGGCACTGATCAATTATATGGCATATAATAAATATTACACCCCCCGTTTCTGAACTTGGTACAACCCAGTGAAAGGAAAACGTGCCATGCGGAAGTCGATAACTTCGACGCATCGCCCACTGACCGCCAGTATTAAAGTCCTTTTTAAGTTTTATGGAGGTTGGTATGAAATGACACAGATAATGCACTTATCCATGTTTTTTTTTTTTTTGTATTATTACTATTATATTAAGGAAAAAGTATTTACTTAAATTCTAAATAACTTATATACATAACTTTAAATAATTAAATTAATTAGCCTAAATGGTTCTGCAAAAATAATAGATATTTAAACTGTTATTACACATTTAAATGAATGCAATAAAAAATATTAAATAAATTAAAATATTAATAACAGCCTTTGTTCTCTCTTATGTTCCATTCTGCAGATCATAGACATTTTTATTATACATATACATATATATATATATATATATATATACATATACACACACATTCTGTGTTGAGACAACCATACAAACAGTTTAATCCTACCAAAATGGATAATGCAGCTGTAACAAAGTCATTACGGTGGCATTCTAAAATTAGATACAGAGGAGACAATACTGTTGTTGTTGTTTTTTCTCTTTTAACAAATAGTAATTAGCAGCGTATGCACCACTCTATAGAAACTGCAGTAAATGAAATGTCAAACATACCTATCATCACTGTATAAACAAGAAACCCATTCACATTGGGGAGAAGAAAAAAAAACAAATGAAAGGATGTTTTGTTAAATAATATATCTTTTTTTTTTGTCTTTTTTTGTTTGGTTTGGTCGACATGCTCTTTAATTGCAAAAGTCAGAAGGAGAAGTACTGAGCGAACCATTCTTGTCTCTGGGGGTCTGGAGAGGTGACGGGTGATTCTTCTCCTTCAGGAGGGCTGAGGAAAAAAACAAACAGAAAGAGAGAGACAGAGATAGAGGGAAAAAAACAGAAAAAAGACAGTAAGAGACATGGAGAGAATTACAAAACCACTGCTAACTGTAGTCTGGGCTAATCTACAGCTTTTCTCAGTACTGAAAACTTCAAAGCGTAGCAAACCAGTTGATTGTCCTGTTCATGTGTTTTTATTTTATTTTACTTTATTTTGTGTATGTGTGTGTACTGGTATGGTTTATGAGGACACAAATGTGTCCCCATAAAACAAAAGGCTTAAAAAAACATACAAAATGGTGTTTTATGAAATTCAAAAATTGCCAGTAGTTTTCTGTAAGGGGTAGGTTTAGGTGTAGGGTTGGTGTAAGGCAGTAAAAAATACAGTTTGTACAGTATAAAAACCATTACGCCTACGGAGAGTCCTCATAAACCGTAAGTATGTGTGTGTGTGTGTGTATTTTTTCTGTTTTTTTAATGAGATCCCAGGAACAGAGTGATATCAATAGCCCATTACACTTGCAAAAAGGTACAATGGTACGTGTCATGTAAATACCATAGTTATGAATATGGTACAAATGATCATAGTATCAACATAAAAAAAAAAGAAGGAAATTTCTGTTATTTGTTAAAGAAACAAATGAGTTTATCTCCTCAGACTGTTCAAAAGTTCAGGTCAGTTGGATTTTTTAAAATTATTTTATTCAGCAATTAAACTGATCAAAAATGACAGTAAAGACATTTATAATGTTACAAAAGATTTCTATTTTGAATAAATGCTGTTTTTTTTACTTCTTAATTACACTGTAATATTACACAGAAAACAGGTATTTATCATAAAAATGTTAATACAATTTAAACTATATTACTGTTTTATCATATTTTGCAAAATAAATACATCTGTATATGTATATGAAGATAGAACCTCCAGCTCTTTCCAAGTTCTTCTAGTACCAGAACCCGCTTTCAATCCTGATTAATTTAGCCTGCAAGTCAACGTTTATAGAAACACTTTTTATTTGTCCCTCTCTACTGCAGAACATTTCATTGTTTATTCTGAGGAAAGAGCTTTTATAAGCTGCAAGCCAAGGTTTTTTCAGGTAGCTCAGCTGTGTGGTTGAAATGCTGACTGACTGACTGATTGACTGACTGATGTCTGGGCTACCACTGACTCTGAACGTTTGCAGCACGATGACGGCTGGCTGATGTCTCCTTCCTGCTTCTTAAAGGGATAGTTCACCCAAAAATGAAAAATTGATGTTTATCTGTTCTCAATAGCCGGCGCGTGACGCGTCTTCTTCTTCTTCTTGCTTTACGGCGGATCGCAGACTTATAAGTGCATTACCGCCACCTATCTCTCAAATGGACCATTGACACTCCTAACTGAGATTGTAGATAGAGTGTCAATGTCCATTTGCACAGACCGATCGTTTCGTGTCTTTACACCATCAATGTATCGTCACGAGCCGCAGGGTTTAATTTGGTTTTGTTTGTGTATGTTTGTTTGGCTCTCAAAGCCGTGATTCCCATTCACTTCCATTATATGACTGACAGACTGCAACGGTTTGAGTTAAAAATCTTCATTTGTGTTCTACTGAAGAAACAAAGTCACCTACATCTTGGATGCCCTGGGGGTAAGCAGATAAACATCAAATTTTCATTTTTGGGTGAACTATCCCTTTAAGAAGAGTTTAACGTCTGGAAGTCTGAAGAGTCTGAGTTAGAGAAAAGAAGGAAAGAGAGATAGATGGATGGATGGATAGATGGATGGATCGATCCATCCATCCATCTATCCATCCATCCATCTTCAAATTTATCAAACAAGAACATTCAAACTTTAAAGTCACAGTCACATGGATTTCTTTGAACTTCAATTCATTTTAATCTCCTTACATTCAAATTTGAATTTGTTCAAACAATTCAAATTCAGGAAGTAAATTGGAATCAAAAAGATCAAAACCTGTAGCCCCTGCCTTCTGGAAACCACTTAAAGCCAGCTAATCAGATTGTAGCTTGATGTTTTGAGATGTTGATGTGCATAACACATTCTCAGAAAAAGGTATAAAAGCTGTCACTGGGGTGGTACCCATTAAAAAGTAACTAATATGTACCATTTAAGTACTAATATGCACCCTTTAGGGGTAAATAAGGTACAGAGGTGTACCTTTTTAAAAGGGTACTGCCCCAGTGACAACTTTTGTACCATTTATTTTTGAGAATGTATTAGGGCTGCACGATTATGACAAAAATCATAATTGTCGATTATTCCCTTGAAATTGTAATTACAATTAATTACAATTTATTTTAAATGATGTTTATTCCATTGTTTGAAGCAACTGCATGCCATATTTTTATATGAAAATAAACAAGCTGAAAACACTCAAACTGAAAAACATTTATTGCTTTTCTATAGTATTAAGCCTCAAATGTTAACTATACATTGAATTGGTTTCTTCTTTAAATAACAGAATTTAGTAAAAATATGCATGGTATTATAAAGTTATACTACAACTAAAATGTAGTAAAACAATGGAAAAACCTTTAAGATAACATGTAAAAAGAAAAAAACATCTTAAGCACTCAGAATAACATAAGTGGACTTTGAACAATTAATTGCCGCTTTGAACGATTACATAATTGTGGCATCCGTAATTGTAATCACGTTTAGAAATTCTATTAATTGTGCAGCCCTAGAATGTGTCTGACGTTATGCGACAGTGCCATTTAATTCAGAAACTATGGACTGATAAATATATCATTTATTACACTTATGTGAAAGTAGTTTGAAAAGTTTGAGTCATGCCACCAGACAAGGCAATTAAAATCCATCAATAGACACAAATTCAGTGTTTGAAACAGAGCTGCAAACAGGTCTTTTGACTTATTTAGAGGCAAATTGGCATCTATGCAAAAACACTGTGAATTATGCAATTTTTAATGCATTCTGATGGCTGTTCACACAGCATTTTTGCACTATTTTCAATCATTGGTTTATGTAAACATGCTAGACGGATGTGTTTGATCATCATGACACATCTAGCTTATTCTCGCACCTTGAATTTAATTTTTAAAAACCCAATAGAAACCACTAATTAAAACTGGAAATTTGTACAAGTCATATAAAAAGGATTGTCCATTTAAAAAAAAAATAATAATAACCTAATTCTCGTTTTAGACAGCATTTGACTGAGACATTTTTTTTTGTAATCTTTTTTTTTTCTTTTCTGTTTTCTCAGACAGTATATTTTAATGTGAATATCTGTTAAAAGTGAATTTTGTTAACATTTAGGAGTACATTTGCATATAAATTGCCTGAAAGCAAACACATGTCGACTACAAGCCACAAACTTCAGGTGCCAAATTACAAATAGCACTTTTAAAAATCATTGGTTTATGTGAACATGCTAGATGGACTTCTTTGACCACTGTGATGCATCTAGCTGTTAAAAAAAAAAAAAAAACTCAAACACTGAAATTGGAGTTGACATTTATATTAAACAGGACTTTGAGTACATTTTAAATAATAACCTAATTCTCATTCTAGAGAGCATTTGACCAGACATAAATGTGTAAAAATCTTTTTTTTTCTCTCAATTTGACCAGACTGTATTTTAAATGTGCATATCTACTAAAAGTGAATTCTGTCAATTTTTAGGAGTACATTAGCATATAGATGGCCTTGAAGCAAACACATATTGACTAAAAGCCACGAAACTCAAGTGTCAAATTACAAATAGCACTTTTTAAAAAAATCATTAGTTTACGTAAACACGTGTTGGATGGATGTCTTTGACCATTGTGATGCATCTAGCTGTTTTCTTTTTTGTTTTTTTTTTAAGATTAAATTGCTGTTAACATATTTCCTATAAAAACAGGACTTTTGGTAGATCAAAAAGTCAATTTTTCATAAAACATTTAAAATAATATTCTAATTGTTCTTCTAGAGAGCATTTGACTAGATGTAAATGTGTAATCAGTATTTTTTGAAAAAATCTTTTTTTTTTTTTTTTCATTTTCCCAAATTACAAATAGAAAATAAATAAATTTATTTTGAGCTCAAGTGCAAGAACACTGTGTGAAGGGCCTCTAAAACATAATTCTTTTAAAATGACAACAGATTTTTGAATATAAGAAAGGACCCCACTCGTATATTAAAAAGTGACTCTAGTTCAGTTGCTAAGTGGACCAAATGTCACCATGACATGAACTGAACAGGATAGACTGTGTGTGAGAGCACTTGCACCTTTTTTACATTCACACCAGCATGCAAGGAAACAAGCACAATGGTGCTTCAGACGAGATGATACTTCTTGGGTCAAGAGCAGCTGTAACAGTGACAGCAAAGCATGCATGATACGGTCACCTCTCAAAACATGCCAACTGCAAAAGCAGAGCCATAGGCAAAGGTTTATTGTTGAAAAAGAGTGGAAATATTGTATTTAAAGAGTATAAGAAGCCTGATACAGTGTAACTTACATGTTCACACAGATGCAAAACCGTATATTATGGAAAATGAATATTTTTTTCCAAATATAAAATATTGCTAAATTAAAATATTCATTCTCTCTGATGCAGTGTGGTCTTCAAAGACAATAAAAAGACATTACGTAACAGATGAGTCATATAACTTCCATAACGAACAGAAAACACAACACAGAGACAGACGCCAACTCCCAGCATGCACTGTGACAGTGGGGACACATGCTCCCATTTGCATTCCAATGCCATTTCCAAAGCTCATGTATGGGACTTCAGAAAATAACATTAAGCATACATGTACATCAGTGTTAGGAAAAAGCTCAAGTATCCCTTTTATTTGCCTGCGTTCGGAATGGAATGCTAGCTTCTTGCATACGGTGTACACAGTATATTACTTACTATTGTTGGAAAACAGTATGAAAAAGGATGCAATATGCAATGAGAATGATTCAGAAAATAGTATGCTACATTGTTAGCATGACTGCATTAAGCTGCATGTTTAATTAAACAAGCAGTATGCAGTAAGCAACTCCGAAATGAATAAAAGCTTTTTTGATATAATTACATAATTTGGTACAGTGTTGTTCTTGACTAAAACTAAATAGAACTAAAACTAATAAAAATTGTGTTAGTTAAAATAAGGCTTAAATAAAATAAAATATTACATTAGAAATTAAATTATTAGAAATAAAACATAACAAATGTCACTTTTGCAACTAACTGTAATAAGTTAAAGCTGAAGTACTAAAATCACTAAAACTAAATCTGAAATAAAATCAATTAAAGCTAAATAGAAATATTAAAAAAATTAAATATTAAAAATAAAAGAATTCAAAATATTAATAAATACTATACTAGTATATAAATAAAATGAAAAAAAAATATATATATAATAAAATGACATTTAGTGTAAAATGCCATAAAATTATTGAAATTATTAAAAAGAAGAAAAAAAAAGAGATGCTCATTCATCATGGAAATTAAAAGGTTAAACCGAGAGCATTGCATGATTGGATACAGAACCCAGCATAATATGCTCTGTTGTATACTGCACATTTTGGAAAGTATAGTATTCCATGCATACTAAATATTTTTAGCATGTGTAGTATGGTAGTATTCCATTCCGAGCAAGGGTATCGATTACAAAAATAAAATAAAAAGTCAATGTGAAGGACTTTTTGCTCACCAACTTAAATTCTCCCATGTCTCACCCCAAAAAGCAGCACACCCTTCAAATAGCACCAATCCAAATAAGAATTGTAACATGGACCAAGTCTGAGATCAGGGCGACGCACTTCTTATTCAAGTTAATTACTTGTTTCAGAGGAGATCGGACCCGTAGTTCCTGCTTTCCCGCTCTCTGTTAGGCAGAGAGGAGCCTGGGAGATGCAAACACAAAGCAAACCATCAGAAGTTTCTGTGTGCATGTCCTTGGCACATAAAAGGGATACAACAGCTGCCTCTAGAAAAGTGGGCGGCTGGTTTTCAGTGTGCTGGTGTGTTCGTCTGCTGGCCTGTGGTGCAGAGAGCGAGGCGTCTGCCGTGATGAGGTGCGCCTCACCTCGTCAATTTCTTGGGTTCGGTGAGAGGGGTTGGTGGGGACAAGGGTTTGCTCGTGTTAGGCTCCAGCTGGTGAATGGGGGAGTTGGGGATGGGCTCGAGGCGGTTGGGCTGGGGCTGGCCGCTCCCTGTCCCGGAAGCCTCCACATTGGCCCTAAGATTGGCCGAGCTGCTGAATCGGGTGGCTGATTTGTCGTTCTTTCGCTTTTGCTACATAGGATGACAAGAAAAGCAAACAAAAAAAGGAAGTTGGGAGAGCTTGATGCTCCATTTTTAAGAGGTTCTCCCAATGATTGCTTCCTAACAAATGCCCACCCTGAAGCTCGCAACACTCAGCAGAGGAAGCATCTCAGCCAATCAAATCAAAATGAGTCGAATAGAGATGTGTCAGAGGAAGAGGCTGTTGAAAATTTCAGACTGAAAGAAGAATGGCTTGGAAAGCAAAGAAGAACTGGATGTCTAAACAGGAAGAGAACGCAGAGTAACGAGACACACTGACAATCACACGTGAACACACACACATACAGTATATGCACATGTAATCAACGACACTTGGAAGTTATAGAACATAGATGAGGGCAACAGTGAAATATCTGGTCAAACAGAATGACATTGTTTAGACTGGGTCAGGAACTGCTGTGACTTATGGAACAAACATCATTTTCTCTTAAGCTCTGGAAAAACAGAAAGTTAAAGGGATGGTTCACTCAAAAATGAAAATTCGGTCATCATTTACTCACCCTTGCGTTGTTTCAAACCTGTATGACTTTGAATTATGTACTGGCTTTTTTCTATGCAACTGCAAGACTTTTAAGCTTCCAAATGGGCACAAACGGACCATAAAAGAACCCTAAAAGTAGTCTTCTGAGCTCATACGATAGCTTTAAAGATCAGATGAACAGAAGTTATTTGGTAACATTGTTCCTGAATCAGAACGATTCAAAAGTGAATCATTCACATTCACTGACTCACTAAAAATATCCAAAATGAAATCTAAATTGTAAAAAAATCTGAAATAAACTATAAATATATTTAACTTAAACTTAAATGTTGCCTTGGCAAATAAATAAAATAAATACATTTAAGTTAAGTTCTTATTTAAGCACAAAAATTCTAAAACTGAAACAAAGCTAAATGGAAATATTTGTAAAAAATTATAAAAAAGACACACAAAAAAATACTAAGACAAGCTAAAATTTAAATTAAAACTGCAAATATAAAATTAAACACTAACTCAAAATATTAAAATACTAATAAATACTTCAGTATATTAAATTATTTTAGTATAAAATAATTAATACAATATTTTTAGCATTGGTGGTGTGGTAGTATTACATGTCAGACTAAAAAATAAAATGAAAAGAACATTTCATTTAATATGGACTTTGTGTGCTTTTTTTAAGCTTGAAAGCTTCAGTCCCCATTCATTACAGCTGCATGAAAGAAACCATCCGGTACAATATAATAATTTCTTCTGTTAGCATTGCATGCTTGGAATGACATGAGGGTGAGAAAATGATGTCAGAATATTCATTTTTGGGAGAACAATCCTTTTAATAATGTGTGTGTGTGTGTGTGTGTGTGTAAGAGCTCCAGCATGCTTCCAGTGAACAGTTTTTCCAATGAACTCCAGTCAGGCATGTCAGTTGTATTGCCTTTGATTACACACTCCATTCTAACCAGGCACAACACATCTGCTGAAGTCATTTTCATAGTAATCAGAGCATATATGATGTTTAATATACAGCTGAAAAACAGGATTTTGATCCACTGAGATTTCACTGTGGAACCAAACGACCGCCACCACATCTGTTGCAGCAGGTTGGGAACTCCAATTAGCAATGTACATAAGTAATTAATCACTTTTTGCTTTTTTGTGTCATGTCTGGCTAGGATACAGTGTAAGAAATTACATTCAAGATGAACTATCAAGCACCATTCACTGCTATCATTTCCAAAACTTAGTGAGCTGCCTCGGTGTCTACTGTTTATATATTTGAAACGATGTTAAGGGGATGTATATACACATATAAACATGCATTTTATTCAATTTCTTTGTGCTCTGCAAAGCTATTTGAAAAGAGTGTATGCCATGCGAACAGCCAGCATCCAAACTAAAATGGAGCCTAATCAGATCACTAGGTTTTGGACCAGCAACTACATCTTAAACTAACCAACTACCAGCTCCACACACAAGGACATAGTAGAGTACAAAGAAGAACTCTTACCTTAACAAGAGGGTTAATGACACCAACATTTGGGTTTGTGTTGAATATTTTGTTGAAGTTGGTCTCTCTGTTGACAAGCTCCAGCTGGTAAAACTTTTTGTCATCCTGGAAGGAAAAATAGATTCTCTCATGATACTCATGGACATTATAACACCACTGATATAAGAGTCTCCAGAACATGTGACTAAACAAAAACATCTGCTACTAAGTGTTCTGCAAGCTTAAATATATAAATAAAAATTAATTAAAAAAATTAAGCTTCTATTAAAAATACTATTTCATGCGATGATAAAAATGGTCAAATTGTTTAATATATTTTTATATTTTTTTGTATGTGCATTATACATGTCCATACGTTACGAAATTCTATTTTAATTCGAAAATATATATTTTTTATAAAATCACAAAAATAGCCATGATAAAATGTGAATTTGTTTTCCCATTAAAAACATACATTTTAATTAAATGGTGTTCTCACCACCATTTATGTTCCTCAAATTAATATTAAACTGTCATTATAAAGGACAAAATGAATTTAAAGTGACATAATTTTAATCCCATTTGATATTCAAAGTTTCTTCATATTTTCTTCTTTACATTCATCAAATATCACATATCAATGGAAGCCTGTTTCATTTATTTTTAAATAGGAAGCCTGTTTTATTTTTGATTTTTTAGGGCAGTAGCTGGACAGGAAGTGAAGCGGGAGCGAGAGAGGGGGACAGGATCGGGAAAGGTCCACGAGCCGGGACTCGAACTCGGGACGTCCGAAGCTACAAGTTACAACAGTTATATAATCTTCAATATCAAACCATATCTATGTTATTTTCATTTCAGCTTTGGTTCAGTTCAGCTAATTAACTGAACTGCATTCAACTTCATTCGTAATCATTTGCATGTATCACTGAATTTAAATGGTTTTAATTTCAATGCTTCAGGTGAATTCTCTGTCGAAAAGACCAGCACAGCTGGTGTAATTTTAGCAGGTGTTAGTGTAATTTTATTGCAGTCCAAATTGGAAAGATACAAGAAACATAGGTGCCAAACATTTAACGCATTTTAGTTTGCTATTTTTATTAGCAAAGAAAGTATTTTTCATAAACATCTATTGTTTTAAGGAGTGAATTATATAGAAAAAACGGCTGTCGCTGTGTCTAGAGCAGGATTAAGCTGGTCTTTTTCAGCAGGGCTGTCTGCTCTGAAATAGATCTCTCCCTCCAGTCTTGCGAGGCTCTGCTAATCTCAGCAGGACAGAGCACCCGTGGGACACCTCGTCTTGTATAAAAGATTCACAGCTGAGAAATTTCACAATAAACCTCATATATTGTAAATGAGGATGTCACACTTCTTAAAAGTGCTCGTACCACCAGTTTCTTGACCAAAGATTCTCTCTCAGTCACCATATCCTTCAGTTCGGCTATTGTCTGCAGATCTTCAGGCCTGCTCTCTCTGTTCCGGAATTTTTCTTCTGTTCCCTCCAACCTGAGGAGCAAAGACGTATGATTTAGGATGACATTTTCTCTACAACCTTTAAATCAGTTGTTCTCAATGTCTATATGGTTAGTTGCATGCTATTATTAGCATTTAGCATTGTTTTCCCCAGTCAAAGATGGTGGATGAGGTGAAAGAAATGTTGAATATAAATGAACTTATATATCAACTAGTTGATGAAAATGACAGTTTTTTGTTTTCATTTTCATTAAAGCATTGTTGCTTTAGCTTAGCAACATGCTACACTCTAAAAAATGCTGGGTTAAATATAACCCAGCGCTGCGTTAAAAAGGGACAAACCCAGCTATTGGGTTGTTTTGACCCAGCGGTTGGGCTCAAAACATCCCAACCGCTGGGTCAAAACAACCCAATAGCTGGGTTTGTCCCTTTTTAACGCAGCGCTGGGTTATATTTAACCCAGCATTTTTTAGAGTGTAACGCATTTTAGTTTGCTATTTTTATTAGCAAAGAAAGTATTTTTCATAAACATCTATTGTTTTAAGGAGTGAATTATATAGAAAAAACGGCTGTCGCTGTGTCTAGAGCAGGATTAAGCTGGTCTTTTTCAGCAGGGCTGTCTGCTCTGAAATAGATCTCTCCCTCCAGTCTTGCGAGGCTCTGCTAATCTCAGCAGGACAGAGCACCCGTGGGACACCTCGTCTTGTATAAAAGATTCACAGCTGAGAAATTTCACAATAAACCTCATATATTGTAAATGAGGATGTCACACTTCTTAAAAGTGCTCGTACCACCAGTTTCTTGACCAAAGATTCTCTCTCAGTCACCATATCCTTCAGTTCGGCTATTGTCTGCAGATCTTCAGGCCTGCTCTCTCTGTTCCGGAATTTTTCTTCTGTTCCCTCCAACCTGAGGAGCAAAGACGTATGATTTAGGATGACATTTTCTCTACAACCTTTAAATCAGTTGTTCTCAATGTCTATATGGTTAGTTGCATGCTATTATTAGCATTTAGCATTGTTTTCCCCAGTCAAAGATGGTGGATGAGGTGAAAGAAATGTTGAATATAAATGAACTTATATATCAACTAGTTGATGAAAATGACAGTTTTTTGTTTTCATTTTCATTAAAGCATTGTTGCTTTAGCTTAGCAACATGCTACACTCTAAAAAATGCTGGGTTAAATATAACCCAGCGCTGCGTTAAAAAGGGACAAACCCAGCTATTGGGTTGTTTTGACCCAGCGGTTGGGCTCAAAACATCCCAACCGCTGGGTCAAAACAACCCAATAGCTGGGTTTGTCCCTTTTTAACCCAGCATTTTTTAGAGTGCAATGATATCACTTATGAAATCAATTGAAATAGCATGCAAAGAACTATTTGTGTAGGTAGTGAAGTTGTTGCTGACTATGCAGAACACTTCAAATCGTGCACTTAAGAGTTTCCATGACGATTAGGATGCTGTCTAGGCAGCAAGTCAAGTCACATGGTTTAGCTATCAACCCTCTCGCCACTGTGTTTACAATCATGTCATCTGTTTGGGCTTGTGACTCATTACTAAGAGTGAAATTTGACTATTCTGACACATTAGCTCAAAACTGATGCCTTTGTGCTTTGAACGCAGAATTAAAGAAACACCATTGATCATATCAGTGTAATGATATTGGCATCTGCCTTTCATTTTCTCACATTGTATTAGTGTGCTAGTTAAAATCAGCAGATTTGAATAGCCGTCACTCAATCTTTCTTTCATCTACAGAAATTCTTTGATGATCAGTGTCATCGAGGATCAATATCTCCGCCGATGTTTCAAAATGTGTGATGAATCTTTAATGAGCATGCAATGTGACGCTTCCCCAGAGGTATACAGTGTTAAGATTGATGGCTGTTTTCATATAATAACCTTCCCTAAGGTCTTCACAACTGCTTGTAATAAAAATAAAACTGAGGCTGTTTCATGAACAGTTTTAAACTGCTGCAAACAGAGGAAAACACTGCAGGTTTAACTACTAAGGGCAAGTTTATCTATTCAGACTAAATAGGTCATTCTATCTATCTATCTATCTATCTATCAGTGTCACGGCACCGCCGCTTCGAAAACATCATGAGCGGGCCCCGCCGCCTGGGGGGAACAGTGAGCGGACACCGCCGCCTCGGGGGCACTGCGAGCAGACACCGCTGCCGCCTTGGGGAA